CTTTCAGTATTTGGTCTTAAGATTTAACAAACACCACAATACACCAAAACTCCCACAAGCTCTGAGACAGTAAGTTCTTCAGCTCATAGACTCATAGACTTTAAGGTCAGAAGGGACCATTATGATCATCTAGTCTGACCTCCCGCATGATGCAGGCCACAAAATCTGACCCACCCACTCCTGGAATAATTCTCTCCCTTGACTCAGCTGTTGAAGTCCCCAAATCATGATTTAAAGACTTCAAGTTGCAGTGAATCCTCCAGCAAGCGACCCCTGCCCCATGCTGCGGAGGAAGGCGAAAAACCTCCAGGGCCTCTGCCAATCTTCAGCTGTATTTTGGAAACTCTGGTCTACATTTTCAAAAGGATGCTGAAGTTAGGCACTTAGGGTCAGATTTTCAAAGGTATCTAGGTGCCTAAGGCCTTTGAAAATTTGACCCATTGGTCCACATGTAGGCACCATATTAAAAGTGGCCTGATTTTTAAAGCTGATGAACACCCACAGCAACCACTGAAGTTAGGGGAATTCACCAAATGACACTCTTCTGTCACTGAGGGTTGTGAGGACTCAACCTCTCAGGCAGCGTTGAGGTAGGTGCCTAGGTTTAGGCACTCACGTTTGAAAATGTGGGGCTCAATGCTTGTGGCAAGGAGATCCTGCGTCACAATTTTGAGGCCCCATGGTACACTTCCCAACTTTAAGAGAAGGATTTCGCCTTCTGACTTGGAGTGAAGGCACTCTGTGTCTGACTGACAAGAGGGCAGCATGCCCATCCCTATGCTGAATACCTGACAGACCTATAGTAACAGAGGAGCTCAGTGCTTAAGAATGTATAGGAGTTATTTTTCAGGACTTATTCCCCCCACCCATGTCCAAGATACTCTCAGGAGCCTTCTCAGCCCTGACTTAACTGCCATTCACGAACACCCACCCCGAGTCCTTGCATCACAGCAGACAGATTGGAAGTGACTCCCTTCGGAAGTAATCAACACCACTCGAATTGTCCAAAGGGCACGCTGTTCTGTGAGAACAGCCCCTCCTTTCCACGTCTGACTGAACACACCACTTTGCAGTGGTAAGGAAAACATCCCAAACCTTTTCCAGGGGGACAGGCCCCTACTAACGCCTGACAGCTTAGATCCAAGTGCTGATCTCCTTTGAGAGAAGCCACCACCACCATTCACTCTGCCATCACATTTCTTTCCTACAAGAAGCATAACAGGTATCTAGAAGAATCCTTACAGCACATGGTCATGTGCTATAGTGGCGGTTACATACTTCGTATCTTTGTTAGAAGGCAACACTCATCCATAGAGAGAGAGAAGAGGATGTGTTTACAGAGGATTTCCTGTATGGTTGCTAGCTTAGTCTTTGTGTGTTGGATGGGGGTTGGTTTTTTTTTTTTTTTTATAAAAAGCAAGTGCTTTTAAAAACAAACACATGAAGTCTCATCATGCATCGTGCCACTATGCTAGTTCTCCCTGGACTGGCTCAGTAATGTGCACTGCGCTGTATTGATACTCACCAATATTGCATTCATGGCACACAGCATGGATGAAATCCAACTCCTTGCTAGAGCTTGGCAAATAATTAATTTTTTTTGGTTCAACTGCGGTTCTGAAAATAAATTGTTGGGGTCGGGATAGGGGGACAGAGAATTAACTTAAAAAAATCTGGCAAGCTGAAAAGTTGAAAACTAATTCAAACTAATTCAAACAATGTTTTGGTTTTGAGCTTTTTTTAAAAAAATATTCTTTAATTATTTTTTTTAAGTAGAATTGAAGTAAATTGTGAATGTATTTTAATTGGGGGGAAAAGCAAGATATTTTATTTTGAAAATGTCAGAAGAAAACATTTACTGTTTTTTAGAATTTTTTTAAGCCAAACCAATATGGCAAAAGTCAATAAAAAGACACAAAATGTCTTGGTCAACCCAAGTCTGCATAGTTTGGCGGGGGGAAAAATTTCAGCTGAAAAATGTTGCCCAGCTTCTTACCCTGCAGAAGGTGCACTTGGATATCGGAAAGGCTGAATGTGCCTTAGCATGGAACAAGTGTAGCAGCTTCAAGCACTGAGTTCCTGCACTGGGATCTGCATGGAAAGTCCCATGTGTAAATCTGACAGCAGGTTCAGGGCTTTAGTTGGGAATTTTCCTTTGAGTTATAACCCTTCATGTTATAGGGACACAAGATATGGAAAGGGAAAACAACAACAACAACAAAAATCAAATATGGAACATGCTTTATTTAAAGCACCCCAAGGGCTGCTGTATCATATTAGTATTTTACTTTGACTTCTAGTTTACCATTTATTTCAATAGAAATAAATAAAGGAGTGCTCTATCTATGGGCCTGGAAGTTTTGTTCTCTGTAATTCTGAGGAACGTGCACCATCCAGGCCTTCACTCCACTCAGTTGTGATTGAATCTGTTTTGCCAACTCCAAGCATTCAAAAGACATTATTCGAGCCCCCATAAAAACAACTTCTTGGCTTAAAAATTTATTTATTTCAGAAATAAATGTGGAGTTCTTTTTCTTAACTTACAGGTTCATATTTTCAAGCTTTTCTCTACAGCCACAAGGGCTAGAAATATACTTTTGTTGTTCCAAATGAAAGTTAAGATGCTGACACATTCATCCGACTCCAGGAGCAGAGACGTTAAGAATCACAGTATATACTGAGAGACTCACAAGAAACTCATGCAAGCATTGGCACCACTGTTCAGCGTTTGGAAGAATAGTTGGTTCTCAGCAGATCACTCTCCTGTTAGGTTAGGAGAAAGTGACGTGGCTTGTCCAACCTAGTGCATCTAGGCCCATGTCAATACTGGGAGTTGTGTTTAGTCTTCGATTTAGAGTGTAAACTTTTGGGGCCGGGAGCTCTGTATGTCTCCAAATACCTTTATGCTGTAGAAATAAAATCCATCAGCAATGCCATCTCTCTGAACAGAAAGGCCAAGGACATTCTGCGTGAAAAGTAGCAAGCAGCATTCTGGCAGTATAACAATAAGACCTCACTGAACCCCAGGCAAGGCTGTCACCCACATAGGAGTCACCCCATCTTTCATTCCCATTTGCTTCTGCTCCGTATGCAGAAAACCAGCAGCCGTAGGAAGTTTGGTCACTACCCCTGCCTTTCATTAATTCAAAGCCACGCTCCACTAACCTGCGTCGCATCAATGGAACAAAGGGCAACAGCTTCGCTTGGCCTCTGACACCTGCCCACACACCATAAAGAAGTCAGTTCATTCCTCAGCTGTTAAACAAATGTTGATCTGAACTGTGTGCCTGTTGCCTCCTTACTCTCTAGAGTCTTTGGCTCGTCAAACGTAGTTCGGTCGCTCAAAGCTCAAGTTAATGCAGCCTGAAGTAGCAGTTATTCCCCACCTCCTTACCAGAAGCCCAGTTGTGCATTTGTACCTACTGAGTGTAAGTCTTTGCATTAACTGTATCCTGATTTTCCAGTCACGGGATTGCCCTGAACAATTTCGCTATATTACAGCTTTTTTATTAATGGAGCACAAACCAGTACCATGGAACAAAACATGTAGCAAAACCCTGTAGTATGATTCCAACTGGCAATCCTCTGTAGAGGCAACCACTTTAACATGCCTCTACACTTACTAGTATACTTCCTTCCTCCCCAACGATTAAAGGCCATCTCCCTTCTACAACTGATTATTCTGGCTTTTGGGTAGCTGCTAAGACTTTTCACCGCACAGGATTTCTGTTTCTTTTGACATTCGTGCATCAGCTCAGCTAACTCTACAGATCAAAGTCAAGGAGTGACCTGGTGCAGTTGGGCCAAGCAGGTGTTTGGCCCGCTAACGGGTGTGATGCACGGCTGCTCACTTGTCGAGTCATGGCCTTAGCGGAGCAAGGCTACCTGTGCTGACAACGCTAGACACAAATGCTGATTTGACACAAAGCAACCGCACCAACTAGATCTTTTCACCTGAATCCTCCCTACGAAAACTAAATTATATTTATTTCCTCAATCCCAGACCCAAGGACCAAGGTGAATGGGAAATAAAAGTACTTGGATCCCTAGTATTAGGCACCGCAGGTACTGTCACTATAGATATGAAACTAAAATGCCAAGAAAGCCACACTGGTCCCCGTTAGAACAGTAATGTGGGAAACCAGAGACCCCACTTTATGACCAAAGAGAGATCCGAAAGGACCTCAGATAAATAGAAGATTGTAAAGCTTTACATTAAAGATATTAACTTCCAGCCCATGGCACTTCCCTGCTCTTTTCCATTAGAGCAGGTTTGCTTTTTCCTGCAGAGATGGGTGCAGCGAGCGAGCCCATGACATCGCACAGGGTCTCTTGATTAAACAGTGATTTACAATGTCCCGTTTCAGCTCCCCCACTACTGAGGTTTGCTTCCCCGCAAACAACCTGGTGGCCACCTGTAGATACCGGTGAGGGGCCTGCCAAGGAGATCTGCTTGGCCAGGACTGGCTCCTGGGGTGAGCTCTGCAGGGGTGGGGCAGGCAGAGTTGCCCCACAAGGGGTTGTTGTAGCTTGCCAAAAGCCTCTCCAGTGATCTCTCATCCCCGTCCTTCAGCCAGGAAGGGACGCGGGAGCCAAGCCCAGGTGAGGGTCTTCGCTGCGGGGAAGCAAGTGAGCCACCCCCTGACCAGATGTCCCGATTTTATAGGGACAGTCCTGATTTTTGGGTCTTTTTCTTATATAGGCTCCTATTACCCCCCCCCCCCCATCCCGATTTTTCACACTTGCTGGCTGGTCCCCCCAGCTCCCTGGCTGCCAGCTCTCCAAGGGTTAAAAATGCAGCATGCACTGAAGCTCATTAGGCGAGGCAGCAATTGAGGGGTGCGGGTGCAAAGCGGCTCCTTGGGGCTGGACTAACGACCCCCCCCCTCCCCGGTGCCCTTGCTGGGCCAGCCGGCAGCCGGGTCCCCACTGCAGCGCAGGGAGCCGCCCCGCGCCCCGGGCGAGAGCCGCCCCAGCTGGCGGCGCAGGGCTGCGCTTACCTTGGTGACAGTCATGCAGGAACGGTGGGGCCCCGGTGCAAGCAGGCAAAGGCAACCGGGCAGGGGACGCTGCTGCCGGGGTGGGGTTGTTGGGTTGGGTTGTGTGTTTTCTCCTCTCCCCCTGCAGAGGAATCGGCGTCAGTGGTCACAGGAAGAGCTGGGGACCAGCCCTCCTCCTTCGCCGCCTCCCTCCCAGGCAGGCTGATGAAGCTGTCCTTGCACTGATGGCTGCAGTGATGTCAGCGTGTGCATTTCTAATGCATGAGCCTCCTTCGCTGCTGCAGACGGGAAGGGAGGGGGAGAGCCAAGGAGACTGAAGGGAGGGGGGGGGGGAAGAAGCAGCGATTGATTGTGGTGGTGCACAGTCCAGAAGGGAACACGCTGCCGTTCAGCTCCAAGGGGGAAAGGTCCTTTCTTTAACTCTGGGAAGAGCACAGAACTTCCCAAGGGCAGGGGGCAGGACATGGGGAGACACCTGCTGAACTTCCAAGAGATGGTGTGTGGCCATCGCTTCATGCCCGCCCCTGGGTCTCTAAGCTACTGGCACAATGGGCCCCTTATGAACAGATGCATGGAAGGATAAGTCAGGCACATGCCACAGACACTAAACTGACTCAAAGAAAGTCATGTCCCCGTTTCATTATTAATGCAGTAGATTAAATGCGAGGATTGTATTGTTATGGCCAGTTAGGAGGCTTGGAAGGATGCCATTTTTAATGGGTAAATGTCCATTTCACCCCATACACACACAAAGCCGCTAAAGAATATTTCCAGCCATTAATAATCAAAAGTTACAGCGAGGCAAAGTAAGAAAAATGCTCTTTGAGAACTTAGAGTTTGGTTTTAAGATATTTACGTGGCGTGTTTTGATATGTGAGGTTGACAATTTATGTTTTGGGAGTTATAAACCTTTCACTTTTTGAATCTCAATCAACTGTCATTAAGTAATAATTGTCTGACTGCAACTGAAAATTTAAATCAAATTTTTAAAGTGCTTAAAAATGTATATCATCCCTCAAAATTATATCTAAAAAACCCTGAATTCTGCTAAGCCTACCTTTTAGGCATCATCCCCCTTTTTTTTTTTTTTGCTACTTAGATTTGATTCAGAACACAAATGGATGAAAGCAATAACCAATGTCTGTGACCAGACATCGTTAACTGTGGCAGTCAATTCTCACATGGTCACCTTAACGGGTGGCTTGTGATTTATGTAAAGCTCATAGTGATCAATAAGAGACAGAGTTATGGTTTGGAGCTACAGTCACTCAGACAACAAAAATGCTTGTTTATGAACATCGTACAAAGAGCCCGACACCTCATGTGCAGCATTTCAAGAGTCTGCAAAATAGTTTTGGATAGTCATGCTACAGATCATTAAGTTTAGTTCTCATACAGTCATCAGAAAGGATGGTTAAGTTGATTTTGGCCTAGATCCACAAAGGTATTTAGGTGCCTACCTCCCATTGACCTGGGCCTTTATGCCAGAATTGGGAAGATTGTGGTATACAGAAGAGACTCTCAAATTAGAATCCATAAGCCCCAAGGGGCAAAGGGCAAATACCTGGATGATTTCTGCGAAGTACGTGCAGCTACACAAATCCATTGGAAGTAGAAATGCATGGTCTGATTTTCATAAGTGCCCAGCTCACTCGTTTGTTGTAAGGAACTGCTGGAATCGTTAGACACCACAGGGAAGTCATACCACTGCTTTTTCCTCCCACAAAAGTTAGCAAAGGGGTCCACGCCCAGTCGCCCACACCCTTTACAACCCAGCACAATGAGCAGTTGGTATAGAGAAGGGGGAAAGAACAGAGGGTTCCATCAATAAGAAAAGTCACTTCATCTGAAGAGTAAGTCTCCTGCGTGTGTTTAAGACAACCATTGCAGCGCAGCAGAAGGCTTCAGCAGGCTGAGAACGTGACAAAGCTAGAGAAAGAGTTGGGGCCAGGGTTTGAACATCTGACCTCCCTCCGCTAAATGGGAACATTTGCCTGGTATCCAAACCAAATGTGAGTCATCAAAGGAAAGAACAGCTTGTTTCCCTTTTAAAAGCCCTCCCATCTGTTTAGATGCCTCCTCCAGCACTGATCCCTTCCACTAGGCGTGAGCAAACCTCCGCCCCCTTGGTATGTCACCTCACAGTTCCTTGCTCAAAATTCAGGGGCTAGCTCTATCCGTGCGTTTGTTCGGAGTTCAGGACAAAGAGGCCTGATCCTGCCTGGGGGGCGGGGGGGGGGGGGACGTGGCACGGAGGGGGGGGGGGGGGGGGGGGGGTCTTTATACATTGGCCTAGTAGCAGTAGTCATGACTAAGAGGATTAATAACCATTTTGATACTTGGTCTTCTGAATTTGTATTTAGTGCACGTGGGAGACACTAAAAGAGATTTTAAAGGTGATCGCGCTGCAAGAACATCTGTTGTAGGAGTTATGCAAAGATTAGGAGAAAAACCACAAATGAAATGGCAATGTAGACAGTTGTGTTTGCCCCTAGCACTCTGCCACATGGTTAACAAGCCACAGGTGTCAACCACACAAGCAGCTGAGATAGCGATTGCAGGGTGGGGGTGGGAGAAAGAGACAATAAATAGCACTGTATAAAACCCACCCAGCTAAATGTCCACGTGTGTTTATTACCCTGCTAAATACCTGGCTATTTTTAAGTGAAGAGATACCTATTAAGGCAGGGAGCAGAAGTGTACAGCAGACCTATTAGCTGAAGTACTAGGATGGTGAAGGCTAGAATTGGTGGTTGATATCTGTTTGTTTAAAAGGCATTTGTGTAGTTATTTGCTAGGCTACAACAGTGTAGTTTTTTTTATTAATGATGGATATTGCAGTAGTCGGAGCATGCCTTGTTCCCTCTTGTTTCTTCCAAATACACAGTCTCATTCATGCAACTATCTGAAACTATTTTATAAAATTGGAAGTGTGTAAAGACTGAAAGCAGAAGCTAAGAGCCTTTTATGTCATCGGGTCTGTTCCTCTTTCCCCCCACCAATGCAATGGCCTATGTTCTGTAGTGTTTTATCCAAGCTGATCTTAAATGCCTTAGCTGGTGGAAACCCTTATGTAGCGGGTAGACACCCGCTCCTGCCTGGAAGGGCCTGAAATAGCCCTGGGAGAAGCCTGGGGCAGGGAAAGCTGGGCTGATTGGGGAAACAGCCTCAGCTGTGGCCACGCCCCAAACAGACCCAGCTGGCCCTATAAAGGCCAGGGCAGCCAGAAACTCAGTAGTCTTTCTCTGTACTCAGAGGTAGAAGGGCCTGGATGCAGGGAGCTGAGATAGGATATCTGGGTGGAGCAGGGCTGGGGAAAGGCTGGGGAGCTCGGGCTTGGAAAGCCCCAGGCTATGGCCTAGTAGGAGGCCAAGGGGTACTGGGGGTTGCAGAGGGCAACCCAGGTGTAGGCCAAGGCAGCAGGTCCAAACCCAACCTTGCCTGTGATGAGTGGCTGATACTGCAGTCTGCCCCAGAGAGTGGGGCTAGATGGTGACTGGCAGTAGCCTTATTCTGAGGTGAGGTGGGGTTAGTGGGTGGGGGTTACCCTGGGAGGGGAGACCCAGCATGTGTGGGTACTGCCAGGGGGCAGCACCCAGAGCAAGGGGCACTGGGATCCTGGGAGGGAAATGGGGGGCCAGGGCAAACGACAAGGTGGATCACTGGCCTGCAGAGGGTGCTCCAGGCTGGATTGAGCTGATTCCCCAGATGACCAGCAGGAGGTGCCGCAGGGGTGAGTCTGACCCCTTACTAAAGAGTTCTGTAAAAATCCATTTTTCATGATGCCATAGTGACACCAATGCAAAGATGCAACCAAAGCAAACTTGGTTTGTTTTAAATAGGAATTACTATGCATCAGTACAAGCTTTGGAAGCAGGGCTGTCTTGAACAGCCCTGTACTTAAGTATTGAGGGTCCCCATTCATATCCCTTTTTTCTAAAAACAACCTTCCTCTTCAATCCTGCCTCCTAGTCTCTCTTATCCGTTTCCAACAGAACCAGGGACTTTTCTTCAGAACGGTGTGTGTAGGTGTTTTACTAGACATGATGGGGTGCCATGCTAAACCCCCTTATTCATGCAGATACTCCTGACGGTTCCTGGCTTGCATAGAGGTTACTGTGTGTGAGCAAGAGCTTGCAGGTTCAAGTTCTATACGTGGCTTTGTGACTCCTCTGAGGGCTGTTCCCACAAATCCCTGATCGTGGGAGCAGCTCTTAACAATGGGAGCAAACAGGACTTTGCAAATGACTGATTTTTTTCCTAAGCAAGGGCTGCTCCTGGGAGAGAACCTTAGTAGGATCAGTGCCTGCGTAAGAAGAATTCAATTGCCCCTTCCCCTCTGCAGGAGGAAAAAAAGCATTCTGGCCCTGGTCTTTGAGGAAATGCTGAGCGGAGTGGCCTAGCTCTTTGCAGGATTGGATCCATTGCCCAGCCCGGCAGTTAGTGATTTACACCAACTTTTTTTTGGGGGGGGGCGAGTACGTTCTCGGTTCCACTCTTATCCATCCCCCCAGGAATCCAGGGCACGCTGCTTCAGGAGGCACCTGCTGGATTTATTCAGCAGATTCTCGTTGAGGTGAAGCCAATATTTGCAGGGCACTGCCTCAGCAACGCAGCGGGCTGCCATTCTAGCCTCATTTCTTGTATCAACCTCTCCGCTTCGGTATGTTCTCCAAAACCGCTAACCCACTGGAGGGCTGAGACAAACATCACATGGATGCAAAAACACACTCTGGGATGCAGCTTCCAAATTCATGGCTGGAATAAAGAGGTGCCACCCCCCTGGCCGCAGTGCTGTTCGCCTGCATGCTTAGCTTCCTGTGGGAGAAGAAACGACTTCTCTTTTCCCTCCAAAATAAACCATGTGACCCTATGAAACCCACACAGACTTCCCATGGAGAGGAATGGGGCTGGGTGAGATGTTTGGTTTGGCTCCTATAGCTCACAGGTAGAGCTGGCTGAATTTTACCAGATTTTGAGTCTCACAATTTTTTTGTCGAAGTCAATTTCTCAGTGAAACTCCCCGACCCCTCAAAGAAACTCACTGTTTTGACCAAGGTGAATTACATGATTGTTTACATCTTAGCAAGTGAGAGGTTTAGGTGTCATTTGGGGGGAACCATAAAGGCTGCTACAGTGAACTTTGAAAACTGATGAAAGTGTGTGTGTATTTACATCACAACGCAAACCAAAACAGGCAGGATTTTGCTCTGGGTGTGTTCAAAACTGTCTGACTTAGCTAATGT